AACAAAAACAAACAAACAAAAAATCACCCATGCGTTTCAGAAGTCCTCACAATGAAAAAAAAGGCTTTTTCCAGCAGAAAAATATTCTTCTTAAGAAGGGGCTGAACAGCTGGTTCTGACCAAAGGGATGCTGACATGAAAGAGATTGTAGAAAATAAGATTTATTCAGTTAACAATAGAAAGGAAATTAGTGCTGGTTTTATTTCCAAGTGGCTGGCTTTACAAGAAAGTCATCGAAGAAATGACGAAGGCTTTTACCACATACAGTACTAGGCTTTAAAGCATTTAGCACTGATTATAAGAATATAAGAAAGAAACAGTTAAAACAGTTACGAATTCAAAACAGTGAGAACCCTCTGAGAACTTGGCACAAATTTAAGGGCTACAGTAACAAGGGAAGGGTTCGTTTCAAAGAGGCAAGAACATCAGCATGAGTCTGCCAGCCAACAGGATTGCCATCTGATCTGTGGAAACGTGGAGGGGAATATGGGGGATTTTTTCTGCCTAGAGAAAAATAAGGATTTTGGATATGACGCCTTCAGCTGGAAGAAGTCTCTGTAAAGAAAATGCAGGTATATTGGTCAGCTGGCTGCCTTTGATATCATCATGAAAATGGGTATTCTTATGTCCTCTAAAAAAATTAGGAAGCCTTTGACAATATTAAGGCCATAGCTGTTCTCTAGCTTTCTAAACTATCAGAAAGGGCAATAAATGGTCATGCAAGCTTCTGGAGTAGCACATGCTTAGAATACATTTTAAAATTCATTTTCAACAGCATTCCCAAGAAACTTTTCAAAATATCACATAAAGACAGTTTTATTCCATGCGTAACTCTCTCCATGCATCTAATCCCACTGCATCCAGTGTATTTCAACACAGTCATTCTTCTGTGTGTCATTTATTGCAAACGGTCAGTTAACAGGCTCAGATGACCTCAACTGTTAACGAAAGCGCGCGGGCTCAGGCATTGCCAGAGCCAATGCAGAACAGCCCATCTGTCCATAATCATGAAAATATTTGCATTTTGTTTTCTAAAACACTTAAACTATACCACTGTGCAGCGTTACCTTTTCATGAATTTCTTGTGTAGACTGAGCATCACAAAATGCCACTGTGGCTACATCCTTCAGAATAGGCATTTCTACTGTACAATCCCTGCCATCCAGCAATGCTACCAAAGGGCGCGGGTGCATGGGCCCGTTCATGATCGGGGGTCGAATGCCTATGAAAACAAAAAACAAAACAAAAAAAATAAAGAGAAAAAGGTGTTATTCAAGCCATGATAATCTAGTGAAAAAAAGAGATTGCAGCTAGTGTCTGTATTCTGATAGCAGGAAAAGATTTCAAGAACTTAGGCCACTATAACAGGAACAGACTTACTGTCATAACAAACAAAATAAAATAAGAGCTGAGAGGTAAAAAATAAAATAAAAATAATAATAATAAAAAAACCTCTGGGGGCTCAAGAAGCTGGAAACAGACGGTGAAAGAATACATTGAGTGAACAGTAAATTTGCTCTGTAAAGGGACATCCTTACTGTGCTACCAAAAGTGTCTGTGCAATCATGACCAGGATTTAGTTCAGTTGCATTCCACACTTCGTAAGTGAGAAAATTCTTGCCCAGGCCTATAGGAGCATAATTTATATACCATGAGCAATGCAGTGAGTATCCAATTTACATATATGACACTGATCTGCTGAGACTAAAATCCCACTGAAAAAAAAATATTACAGAAAAAAAGTGTATCTACTGAAGACCCAATGTCAAAGTATAAAAGTATAATAGTCAAGTACATAGTTCTGCTTAGACTTGTTTTATGTTTTTGGTTTATTTATACACTTCTGTATGACTTAGTCAAACACATCATACATAATCTCCCATCAAAACCTCTCTGACAAAATATGAACAAAATGCCCACTCCTAAACCAATACCACGCAGAATAACAGCAACAAAGAAATACAGGTGTTAACCTTAGGGAAGGAGCAAAATGTTGAACGTAAGCGTCGCATTATCCTCTCTGCAGAGTCTTAAACTGAGAAGTGGTCCTTACAACATGTTGAGACATCTTTTGAACAGTACAGATGCTCTAAGTATTTGAAAGTACGTAGCAGTAATATTAGCTATTTCTGCATAAAAGTAGTGGTTTAAGTGTGGGTGGAAAAGGGAACTTCCTAAAGAGATAAGGAGAAATTAAAACAATAAAGCATATGATTTTTCTGTCTTTCAAAACAAGCATTTTAAAATACTGCAGAGAGAAGCAGGCTGGTCTTTCACGCATGCAAACGCGACGCATTTGTTGCGGGGCGAGTTTGGAGCTTTGCCTGCTGTGTGGTAACAACCCTAGCGCAGGAGAGGGAAGCTCCCCGGCTACCTCCACGAGGAATCTCTGTATGTTACACCCCAGCCTGGCTCAAAAGGCAAACCCTGTGAGACTGGTGGCTCCACTTACCAGCTACCTGGCAAAGGGAAACAGCTGCTGGCGCCAAAGGGATTTTTGCCAATCACCAGAAGGAGCATTTTTTTTTCCTCCCAGGGATGAAAGGCAGGCCTGGAGCTGAACAAGTGCGGAGACTCTTACCCTCAATATCTCCATTAACTGCCTGGTCTGTGCCTGCAAATTCTGGGTTCAAACTCAAAATGAGAGGCTAGTCCTGGCACGACCTGGCATTTAACGTTTTTACCTATTCAAACAGTTCTACACTTGAAGATTACAGCAGGGAGATTGGAAGTTTTTCTCCATCTGTGCTGTTTTAGTCAGTCAACTGTAAGACTTGGTGAAAGTGAAGCAGGTTTTAATGTCAGTGCAATTGTATGGTACATTTTTAATTACTTATTCAGCAGCAAACAGCAAAAGGAGCTTGCAGAGTCGGGACATGAAGGCAACAGATCCCATCCAATTCTTTGGTGTTTGGTCACTGCTTAACCTCATTGGTTTCTTTCTGGTTCTAGTTGCAGCCTCTCCCGACATCTGCTTGCGCCGACGGCCTGCAGCTGCAGTGGTCACATCACAGCCTTTCAGATGTTGCAGTGTGCCCTAGCAATGCTTGTTGTGGGTAGAATAAATACCCATGGAAACTCCTCAAGCACCTCCATTCCCACCCTCGGTTGCAACAGAGACATCCTTAGAAGTACTTCTGGTGCACAGAGAAAAACACAACAAAAAAATAACCAATTATTTCTATAAACTAACGCTAAATAACCAGCCACCAAAATTAAATGGAAGCCTTTTTTAATTTATATAT